GTGTATCTGATACCTTTGCTAAAATTGGGTGACTGTAAATGTGTAGCTTATTTTGGGGTCTGCTATACTACTCCATTGGTCCACACATCTGTTTTGGGTCTTGTTGTTGTTGTTGTTCGGTCGGTTGACTGGTTTTGAGACAATGTTTCTCTGTGTTGCTGCCCTGACTGTCCTGGAACTTGCTGTGTGGACCAGGCTGGCCTGGAGCTTACAGAGCTCTGCCTGCCTCTGCAGGGTGCTGGGATTAAAGGCGTGCGCCACCGCCACCTGACTCCACATACCTGTGCCAGTACTCACTGCTTTTGCTTCTGCTCTGATATTTGATCCTGGGTGCTGTGATACTTCCAGCACTGCTCTTTCTGGTAAGCTTTTCTTCAGCTCTTCAGGGTCTTTTGTGCTTCCAAGTCAATTTGAGGATTATTTTTCTAGTGCTGTCAAGAATGGCACCAGAATTTTGTTGAGTGTGGTACTGAATCTGTAGACATCTGATGCGTTTATCTAATTATTCTTTATCAAAAAAAAAAAAATTGGGAGTCAGATGTCGGAGTAAGAACCTGAATGATCAGAGAAGTGGCAGAGAAGCCGCCAGTGACCTCCTATCTCTTCTGTTTCTCCATCCAAGAGGTCTGAGATCCTCTCCAAGCCCTGCCTTACTACTTCCTGTCTACCTGTCCTCAGTCCTCCAAAACCTCTATGGTTAATTTTGGTCAGCTAGTGGCTAGCTCTACCCTCTGATTCAAACCAAACTTTATTGCCAGAATGCGATCAGAATATCGCACAGCAGACATCTTTTGCTGATAATAGTCATTTTTGCAATATTAACTCTGCCTGTTCATGAGCATGGGAGGTCATTCAAGTTTCTATTATCTTTTCTACTGTAGAAAATTTTCACCTCCTTCATTGGGTTTATTTCTAACTATTTTAGTGTCCAGAAGTTGGGAATGAGAACTTCCCACCACCGCTTTTTTTTCCTCAGTGAATTCGTTACTGACCCACAGGAAGGCTACTGAGTTTCGTGTGTTGGTTCTGTCCTGCTTCCCTGATGAAGATATTCATCAGTTCCAAAGTTTGCTGACAGCGTCTTCTGTCATTATCTTGTTTATTCAGTATTTTCACACTTATCCTAGATAATTATTAACTTCATAAGACATTCTATAGTAGTTTCTCACTTTCAGTTTTATGATCATTGATGATGTATTCGTAGATTGTACAAATATATTTGTATATCTCATAGGGTTTGATGTTATTGCTGATACAGCAATCAGGTTTTTCTTGCCAAGTGGTGCTGGAGATTGAGCCCTCAAGAGTAGGCTCCTCAATAAGAATACTGACCACCAAATCCAGAAGAGTCATTCAAACAGACAGATGTACAGACTGCAACACAGAAATGGAAAAAAAAAAAAACACGAAAACACAAAGAATTGGAACTCTTCCCCCGCACAACTGCTCAAGCCAAAGACCTATCCTGAAATAAGTCAAATTCCAGGTGAAGAACTTCAAATGTCTCTGATAAAAATGACGAGTCGGGGCAGGGGTGGGGATTTAGCTCAGTGGTAGAGCTATTGCCTAGCAAGTACAAGGACCTGGGTTTGGTCCTCAGCTCCTGAAAAAAAAAAAAAGACCAATGGTCTAAAAGAGACTATGAACAAGTAGATGACTTCATTCCAGAATCTAGAAAGGAAAATCAACAACACAGAGGAGAAAATCAACCATGCAGATGAAAAAGATAGTAAAATTGAAGAAAATTCAGTGAGGAAATTGAAATTTTGAAAAAAAAAGAAATATTGGAAATGAAAACCTTAATGAGTCAAAAATCAAAACAAACAAACAAAAAAAGAAGAAGAAAGTTTGGCTGATAGACTCAGCCCAACAGAAAGAAGGAAATGAGAGGTGATAGATACGGTTGATGAGATGTAGTAACATTCAAACACCAAGGAGACAAAAAAGCATGACCACAGCATCCAAGAACCCAGGCACACAATCAAGAGACCAAACCTAAGAATCCACAGGATGGAAGAAGGGTCGCAGAGAAACCCCACAGGTGTAGAGATATAGTCAATAAAATTGGAGCACTAATGCCCCAAATATAAAGTCATCCAAACACAGAGGCGTTTTGAATCCCAAGTACACACAACCAGAAAAGAGCCCCTCCATGACATGTTATAGTCAAGATGTCAAAAACCAAGAAGTGAAAAATGGTGTTAAAAGCAATGAAGCCAGAGTACCACAAAGACAGAAACAGTAACACTGTGCCTCTTGTAAGCAAGACTCTTAAGAAGGAAAGCATAGAAGGGTACATTTCAAGAACTGGGATTGAATAACTGCTGACCAAGATTCCTGTGACTAGCAAAGCTCTCTTTCAAAATTGATGGAGAAATGGGACAATCTTTAATATCTCTTAGGTATAAGATGATGTCAGCACCAAATAAGGATACTTGGACTTCATGCTTTTATATGTGCATCTCTTGCATTTCTTTTTCTTGTTGCTCTATCTAAGAATTTTAGCACTATATTCAATTCAACAGAGAGCAACCTTGTTTTGTTTCGTATTTTTGAGTAAATGCCCTCAGTTCCCCCCTATTTAGCATAATATTGCCTATAGATGTGTTAGGTTGAGACATGTTCATTTTATTCCTAGTATCCGCAGGGCTTTTATCATGAAAAGGATGTTGAACTTTGTAGAAGGCTTTTTCTATGTCAAGTGAGATGATCTTATGGTTTCTGTCCTTAAGGACATTTATGTGTTGAATTACACATATATTTTTTGCATATGTTGAACCAATCTCTTTTTTTTGACTCACTGAGTTTAAAGTAGCGTGGATGAGCATGGGTAAGTTACTTACTGTAGTGTGGGCAACTTACCATTGAGTATACCACTGTAGAAACAGACACCTCTCAGGGAGGGGTAAGACCTCATAAGCACCCCAACCCCATTCCCTGACCCATGATGGAATGCTGGAGACCCAGTTTTGTGTAGGTCTGTGTCCAGAAGACAGCATTTCAGAGCACTCTTCCCCATTCTCTAGAGCTTTACATTTTTTTTGCCACTCCACTCTTCCCTGAAGTTCCATGGGCCTTGATGGGGGTGAGACCTAGATGTCCTGTTTAGGGCTAAGCACTCGACAGTCACTTATTCTCTGTACTTTGTCCCATTGCGAGTCTCTGCATTAATAACTGCCTTCTTCACCATTTTCTTTGAGATTTTATTATATGGAAGTAATTTCATCAACTTCAGGGTGCCAGCCACAGAGAGGCATGTAAGTAATATTCTCGGCACTTCCACTTACCATTCCTTTCTCTTTTCTGTCTTCTGAGTCTGTCTTTTCTCCATTTTCTGTTCCCCTAGTTTTGTCCTGAGTTCTAGTGGCATCCATGAATACTGTTAAATCAACTGTCAGCTGGAGCTTTTAAAGACGACATGATATAGATTAGGACAATCTCATCCCTCTCCTTGAGAAACAACCGATATCCAAACTATACTGGGCCGTATGTTCTAATCAGAACGTTTTTTAGGGAAATGCTGTGAGAGAACTATCCATCATATATAGATGGAGACTTAAAGGCTCAAAGTATATGTGCCAGACAATCTGATTTACATGATACTCCGTGCTTTCTATACCAGTTCTTGCCAGTTTTATGTCAACATGACACAAGCTAGAGTCATTGGAGAGGAGGGATCCTCAATTGAGGCAATGCCTCCATACAACTGGGCTGTGGGCAAGCCTGTTGGGCATTTTCTTAATTAGCGATTGGTGGGGGAGAGTCCAGCCCACTGTGTGTGGGGGGTGCCACCTTTGAGCTGGTGGTCATGGGTTCTAAGAAAGCAGACTGTTCAAGCCACAAGGAGCAAACCAGTAAGCAGCACTCCTTCATGGCCTCTGCATCAGCTCCTGCCTCCAGGTTCCTGCCCTGTTTGAATTTTGTCCTGAGTTCTTCAGTGATGAACAGTGATGTGGAAACATAAGCAAATAAATACTTTTCTCCCCAAGTTGCTTTGGTCATGGTGTTTCATCATAGCAGTAGTAACCCTATTGTCTTGCTTTGTATTTTCTCACGCCACCCATTACAAACTGACATGTGGTAGATTTACCTCCTTTGTTTACTCCCTTCCTACCAGAATGTGTTCTCCAAGCAGGTAAGAATCTTCATCTGATTTGTTTACTGTGATATCTTCCTTGCCTTGAACAGTGTCTGGAATACTATAGGTTCTTAACAATGCCTCAGTATAATAGATACAATTAATAATATTATCAACAAATAATTAAGTGCTAATAAGTTTATAGTATTTAGTAAATGAATGAATAAGTGAATAAATGAGAATTTATGAGTTCTTTTGTACTGGTTCCCTACTTCTGTCATCGTTTTAATTTATTATTACACTATTTAGTGTTTAAAATCATTTTTAAAAGCTTATTAGTGAATGGAATCATCTTTTGTTCATATTTATTATCTAGTGTCTCTTAAATTGGACATGATGAGTATGTGTTGTGTGAAAAACACATTAAACTACTATTTGTCATTAGCACAGTTGAATGGATCTGTTAAATTATATTAAATTAAATGCACTTTAAAATTTATTTTATTTTATTAACTTTTAAATTGTATGTGTTCGGCTGTTCTGCCTGCTTGGATGTCTCTGTACCACATGCATGTGTGGGGCCTGCAGAGGCCAGAAGAGGGCAAAGCATTCCCTACGAGGGCATCGCATTGAGGTGAGCTATTATGCATAGTTAAGTGGTAAGATTTTATAGCCATTTTGAAGGAATATCACTCAAAAGCAATAAGACTGTTAAAAAAGGCAAAATGAGTTTTGCATAAAATTATTATTAACAGAACTACAATAATGCAAAGAACATTTATTTCACATCAAACAGCAAGTCCAAATGTAAATAACGATTTCACAGATTCTTATAAATAATCAAAGGGAACAGAAAGAGGCGTCAAGCAGGTGGCAAGAATACACTCGAACACTGGACGAGTTGTGCACAATTAGCTCCATATCAGCAGAGCTGGGCAATAGATCTTCTGGGACAACCAATGTGGCAGCATCGCTCACTCAGCCATAAACCGGACTGCCTCTTTTTCCGTGAAGGAGTATCCAAGCGTAAGTATTTAAGTTCTGGAGGACTGCTGTCTTCTGCTTCACCTTGTGGATTATGGAAACTTTTCTTAAAGCCTTCCAAGCTACCAACTGAATTGCTCAAGGCAGGTGCATATTGTTGTGGCTCTGGTAATGATGGATTCCCCTCAGACCGTGCTGCCTTGGGCTCCTGTGACAAATTTGGAAGGCACTTAAACATATCTAGAGGCTCTGCATCTTTGTTGATGAGGGATGGCACAGTTTCTGTTAAGTTTAAAAAAAAAGTAGGTGGGGGAGAAAATATTCATGTCAAGGAGCATTCGGGAACTATAGACATTTGAATAGGAAAAAACGCCTATTTTGCCTGGATATAATTAAACTCTGAAACAGAATCAGCAAGTACTGAATATCTAAGTGGTTTTGCTTGCTGGACGGTTCAGAGTGCTATGATCTTACCAAGGTTCTGGTTTTTCCACATGACCTTCCAGTGTCTTTCTTCATCACTCCTTTCTTGCTTTTTCTCACAGCAATTTTCACCCTTTGACATTGAACTCTTACTTTTCTGAAATCATGTTGGCTAATGAAAACACCAGTTCTCAAGTCAGGCGTGGTGCAACACACTTTTAATCCCAGCACTTGCGGGACAGAGGCAGGTGGATCTCTGTGAGTTCAAGGCTAGCCAGTCTACAGCATGAGTTTCAGGACGGCCAGGGCTATGTAGAGAGCCTCTGTCTCAAAAAACAAACAAAACAAAAACAAAAACTCCCCCTCATTTGCATGTTTTCTAATTTTCTTCATTGTTTCTGAGCCATGAAAGTAATCCTTGAAAAATATTTTCACAATTTTAAGATCTTTAGTGTCCCTGAGTGTCAAGTTACTGCTTCAGGATAAAGTTTAAAAGACAGGATTTCCAACAGTTCAGCTCTGACTAGAGGAGCATGTGTGTCTCTAAACACTTACGTGGCCATCTCCCTTTCCCAGAGTGTTCTCTCCAAGTCGATGGTACTGTGGTACTGTGTATTCAGGAGAGAAACAGCTTAAAACCTTCCTAATGCTATGATCCTCTGATACACTTCCTCATGTTGTGCTGACGCCAACCATAAAATTATTTTCATTGCTACTTTGTAGCTGTAATTTTGCTACTGTTGTGAATCGTAATGTAAATATCTGATATGGCCCCCCTCTCCCAAAGAGGTCTTGACCCACAGGTTGAGAACTGCTGGCTTAAAAGCATACTAATCTCAAACCAAGTGCTTCCCAAAGAGATTGGTGTCTCCCAGGGTACGTGTGCCAAAGTGTTAAGTGTGGTGTTCCCCCAGTGCTGTGGGAAAGTCTGCTAGACCCACCTGCCCTTGCCTTCTTACTACTTATCTATAGTTCAGCATTCACGGACTGTTTCCATGTGGCAATACCAGTTAGGAGTTTAAAAAGAAAATATTTTCTGCAAAAAAAAAAATCCAAAACAAAACAAACAAACAAACAAAAAACCCTTAGAGTAACACAAACCTGCCCCTGGCCTTGTCTATTCCAAATGCACAAATTCAGAGTTTTAGCAACAAAGACACTGGAAGTGTTGGTTAAGTTTAAATTATAGTACAATGGCTCAGTTCTTGCTGCTGACTTCAACTTACCAATAAATCATTCCTCTTGACAGAATAAAACCAAAGAATCGAAAAGACACAACAAATGTGGAAGGGAGATGCCTGGTTAGCCATGGAGGCTTACCCTTTAGAGAAAGCCAAACCCTTTACCTATGCAGGGGTGCCCTGGGACAAAGCTCCTTCCCGAGAATTCTGTTGTTCTTTGAGCCACTGATACACTTCAGCAGTTGGGATTAGGCAGCGGGAAAGCAATGGTACTGCTCCACTTCATCTCTCTACTCCCCACTCATTCATTCACTGTCTAAACCGGCCGTGGCAGGTGACATTCTGTACCATTTTATGTATATCAGAAGTTTTAGCTCTTTTCCCCTAAGACTCTTTAGCTTTAACTCACCTTATTGGTCCCTCATTGCTCTAAACCTTTGTCCAGACAGGGCTTTCTTGGCGGTCAAGCAAAGCTTATGGTAACTTTCTATGCATTTAGAGTCAGTGAGCAAAGGCCAATTATAGTATGGGTCAGAGTTAACTTACAGGCTTTTGTGCCTTGAAATTCTTTGTTTAAAATTACTTTTTAACTTATTTTGAAGTCCATATTTTTAGTTTGTAGACACTAGACTCAGATATTAAACTTTAATCTAACTGAATTCATACAGTTACATACTTTTTAATCACTGCATTTTTATATAGAACCAATGAGTTTTCGGCCATGATAGACTGAAGGCTAGCCTCCGTTCTTGCTGGTCCCCTTCACTTTTCTCTATGGTCTTCTAGTCACTGCTGTTTCTCCTGCACTTCCCTACCCTCTGGATTGAACTGCAAGACCCAATTCAAAAAGATGCAGGACAAGGCTGTCTTGGTGACATGCCTTAAAAACGGGGAGCAGGAGTTCTCCTAGGCATACTCCACAGGACAGATTTGGGCTCCCCCTAGGATCGAACTCTACCCTAGCATGAAGCTGCACGCCCACCTCCCTCTGATGGGTTCTCATTGAAACTCTTTCACCCAGGCAAGTTTCAAAGGCAAACCTGAGCCTGGGGATCAGGAACTAAGGCAGAAGGAGGCACTTTCCTATTGGTGGGCAGCCAGTGGAAAGCACGGGAAGGCTGGGAAAGATCCGAGGGGGCGCTCACCTGTCGTTGGCCGATATTGCAGAGCTGACTCCCCCGGGCTCAAAGCCAGTCTTCCCAAGGAGGTCCCGCAGATTTCGAACACCGCACGGGCATATCTCCGGCCGCACACCTGAATGACTTGGTCCATCCACTCCTCCGAGACGCGCGCCCCGCAAGGCTGGCTCAGTAGCAGCCAGAACCCCAGGAGATGGAGCAAGAATCTGCTGGACATCCCGGTCTGGGCAGCTTCTGGGAGGCTCAGCCTTGGCGGGACTGGGCTCTGCTGCCTTCCCGGAGCTCAACCGGGCTTTTATATCCCTCGGGCACTCTCAGCGCCTGGGTTGATGGTTCCAGCTCCACCCCCTTTCCGCCCACCCACGGTGTTGCCTTCTTGGGTCTTGATCACCTTACCCACTTTTCCTTCATCGGGTCACCCTTCTGTCCTTGTCCCTCCCACAGAACTTTTCCTCTCTGCTCTTGCCCTCAAACCATTTCGCATGCCACAATTACTCTGGATTTGAGGTTTTTCCTTAATTACTGAATAAGGCAGGACTACTGCACTAAGTCGCATCAGTAGTAAAGTCAGACCACCTCCTCACAAAGGTTTGCCAGCGTGGAGTGTCTGGTATGTCCGTCTGTAGAAAATATAACAGAAGTGGGGTGAACTATGGGCAAGAGAGGGCAACTGACAACTTTTCACCAGAATCCTGGTAGAAAATATTGAAACCTGGTTTTTGTTTTGTTTTGCTGATGTGAACGGGGCTGCTTTTGTGATCTCTTATCAGCAAATTCCTTTTTGCTGTTTTAAAATGCTGTTGAGTTAGTTTTGTATGTTGGTTTTAGATCCTAGAGTGGAGATTCTGCTAGTCATAATGGAGTGTGGGGTTTTTTTCTCTATATATAGAATCATATAATCTGCACCACTTGACTTCCTCCCTGCCTAATTGTTTTCTATGCACTCTGTTGTCTTATTGTTCATCCTAAACTCTTCAGGAATATATCGATCGAGAACAGTGAAAGTCAGTTTCCTTGTCTTGTTTTAAATATCAGAGGAAATGTTTTCAGCTTCCCTGCATCCAATATGATGGAGGCTGTGGCTTGTCATATACTCTTGATTATGTTAGGTATGAACTTTCTATAATTTGTTTTAAATCATGAAGCAACGCTGAATTTTATCCAATGTTTCTCCTACTTCTATTGGGATAATTTTTATGATTTTTGTAATTCATTCTGATGACGTATTACATTTATTGATTTTCAAATGGTAAACCATCCTTACATCTAACTCTAGGATGCATCCACCTTGGTCACCATGAATGATCTTTGTGATGTTTTAATATTTTGTTGAGTGTTTTTATGTCTATGTTTATCAGTGACATTGGTCTCTAGTTTTCTTTGCTGTGTCTTTGTCTCCTTTTGGTATGGGGCGATGCTGACAGGTAGAATGAATTTTGATCTTTAGAATAGTTTGAGAATAGGTGATGCTTGAGAATTTGGTAAGATTCAGCTGCAAAGCCATCTGGGACCAGCTTTTTCTTTGTCTGGAGACTTCTTGGTTACTCAGTCTCATTACCCATGTTAGTCTGTTCTGGTTTCTATATCCCCAAGGTTAAATTTTGATAATTTATTTATATCCAGAAATTTATCCATCTTTTTCTTTCCTTTCCAAATTTTTTGAAATGAAATTGATTTATTAGATATTGTACATAGCATATAAGGCCTTTTCAGATTTTCTACACTGTTCTCAGTGATGAAACTATAATATTTTGTAGCAAACATATAATTAACAAAACAAAACAACCTGAGTTTGTGGTGCCTCAGTCTGGAAGTCTGACATGACTAAAGACCCAAAAACCTGTGACATGTTTTTAGAAAACAAGGCTGGAAATTAAGCAAACATTCTTAACTCCAACTAGAAGATATCTTAGTTAAATGCAATAAATAAATAAATAAATAAATAAATAAATAAATAAATAAATAAATAAATAAATGAATGAATGAATGAATGAATAAATATTGTCATGCTTTCTTTACATAGAATTCCTTTGTTACAAAAGGGACTTGGGGCATGCAGCCAGACTACTAATGCCTTCCAAAGCCATTAGTGTGTGTTGGTTTTTTCAGAAAATTCAAAATATCTTTTTCATTAAACATATAGAAGGAATGTTTAGCACGTGAAAATACTGGTACCAGAAAACTAAGCAGCCATCAGCATTATTCCAAACCCCACAGCAAGTTTTATTTTCACACAGCACCAGAACATTTCCTTTTCTAAAAAATGCGCACAATGAACTTGATTCTTTAGTACCCTGTCTCAGCTGCATGAGTCCGGCAGGAGGGCTCCCAGGGAACAGACAGATGAACAGACAGACGGGCAGCTGCCCCTGAAGTCATGTTCTGAGATTTTCCAGTTTGTTAGTGCATTGGTGCTCACTAGTCCCTAAGGATCCTTGTGTTCCCCGCACATGGATTGTAGTGCACACTTCTTTGTTTGTGATTTAATCATTTGCATCTCCTTCATTCTCTGTCTCAGTTATTTCAACTAAAAGTTTCTCAGTTTTGTCTATCCTCTCAAAGACCAGCTCTTCATTTCATTTATCTTTTCAACTATAGTTTATTCTCTATCTATTCTTTGGTCTTTGTTATTTTGGATTTGACCTGTCCTTGCTTTTCTTGGTCTTTGAAACACACAATTAGGCTGTTATTTGAAATCTTACCATTTTTCTGAAGTGTTTATTGCCATAAATTTCACTCTTACTATTGATTTTTTTAAATTCCATAACCTTTGATATGTTGATTCTATCTTCATAAGTTTTAAGAATTTTCTTCTTTTAGGCTGAAAGTTTATTCTTTTCCATTACACTGTTTAAGGATGTACAAGAAAAGAGAGATACAATACAGCTTTTTGAGATATTATTAAACCAATATAGCATAGTATAATTTTTTATTTTTTTTGTAGTAGGAGTATATAGACATAATTGAAAACAATTTCAATTTCCTTCGTTATTTCTTCCATGACTTAGTATTTACTCAGTATCATTTGTTCAGTCTGCATACATTCATATAATTTTCTAATTTCTGAAGTTTCTTTATCCTTCTGTTTTTGTTTTTGTCTTTTTCAAGAGAAGGTTTCTCTGTGTAACCACTCTGACTGTCCTGAAACTCTCTCTGTAGACCAGGCTGTCCTTGAACTCACTGAGGTCCACCTGCCTTTTCCTCCCAGTGCTGAGATTAAAGGTGTGCGCCGCCACCACCCGGCTAGTTTATTTTATTCTTGATTTCTCGTTTTATTCCATTATGACTAGACAAAGTACATGATATGATTTTGATTTTTTAATCTGTTATTTTGTTTTGCCTAATGTGGAGAATGCCCCACATGCTGATGAAATGAGTGTGTGTTTGGCAGCTGTTAGGCTGAAAGTTTCCACCGGCATCTTTCTGTGTGAGTTAACTCTGGTGTTTCTTTGTATCTGGATGTCTGTCCCATGTTGAAAGTAAAAGGCTGAAGTCCCTCATTCTTGCTGTATTGGAGATCATATACCCCTTGAGATTTAATAATGTTTTTATAAATTGCATGCTTTAGCACAGGTGAATTTACATCTATAATTGTTATGTCTTCTTGTTGAATTGATCTCGTTCTTTGTCTCTTTCTGTAGTTTATGTCAAGTGTATTCTATCTGCTGTAAGTATAGGTGTTCCTCTCTGCTACTGGTTTTCACTAGTGTGGAATATCTTTCTCTGACACCTCATGTGTCTATACTGGTGAAGAGAATTTCCTGCGGGCAACGTACTGTTGGACTGGGTGACTTACTGGGTTTTTATTTCCAAGATCATTGGAGCTTCATTTTTTTAATCCATTCAGGCTATGTCATATTAGTTTTTTAAATGAATAATTTTTCCTTTCTATTTTTGATAACATATTAATGTTATGTATTAATATGTCTCAGTGTGACATTTCAGGCCATGTGTACAGCATGTACTAGTCAAATCTAGCTTCCCTTTGTCCATTCCTACCCATCTTCCCAACTTTCAGTTTTCTACATACAAATCTAGTTTTGTTTTTTACAGTCTAATACACTGCTTGGTGAGAAATAGTATGGAAGTAACTAAAGTAACTAAAAATATGATAGTATATAAAAATACTACTAATTTCCTTGTCTTGTTAGATTGATATTTGGGAAGGAAGGCTAAAGCTAACTCCCTTCAGGATGTATATCCCAGAGCAATAGAGTTACAATACCAGAGAGATACCTGTGCATCCAATGTGCACAGATCATAATAGTCAAGATACAGACTCAATATAGTAAAGATACACAGTGGAATATTATTCAGCCACCAGGAGAATGAAATCCTATTATTTTATAGCAGTAGATAGAACTGGAAGACATTGTGTTAAATGAAATAGCCCAGGCACAGAAAAAGACGTATCATCTTTGCTTTTTCCTGTGAAGACGTCAGTAGTTTTTTTTACTCTGGGGAATCTAGTCCATTTACATTTAATTCTGTTTTATTAATAGCTAAAGACTTACTCCTGATATTTTGCTTATTTTATTGATTTATGTCTTCTATTTTATTCTGTTTGCTTTGGTTTAATATGTCGTTAAAGTGGACTTTATCCTACTTCTCTTTCCTTTCTCTTGAGTCATCTTCTTTCAGTATTCTCATGGTGGTAGCTTTCTTTCATTTCTGGTTTAGGACTCGGCTAAGTGTCTGATGAAAGTTGTTGTGATGGTGATGAATTCCTTGATTTTGCTTCTTCGGGGTCTTCGTTTCTTTTCTCCCTCATTTCTGGATGACAGTTTTGTCAAGGACAGTTTTCTGACAGCGTTTTCTTTCAGAACTTGGAATCAGTCGTTCCCTTCCCTCCGGCTCTGAAGTGTCTCTTTGTAAAGCTGTTAGACCAATGGAAGCCGTGAATGGAACTTTTTACTGTCCTCCTGCAGGTTTTAAAGTTCTTTCTTTTTTAAAGATTTTTTTTAAATTGTGTGTGTGTGTGTGTGTGTGTGTGTGTGTGTGTGTGTGTGTGTGTGTGTCTGTCTGTCTGTCTGTCTACCTGTCTGTCTGTCTGTGACCTGTGCATGCATGGATGCAGGTGCCTGTGGAGCCCAGAAGAATGTGTTGGGTCCCTCAGAGCTAAAATTTCCTTGTATCTTTCACAGTGTGGCTAAATATACCACAGGAGGGTCAATTCTGACAATGCTACTTGAGGTTCCATGCGCCTTCTATACCTGC